GCCTCCTGAATAGTAGCTAGGATTACAGGCAGGAGCCACCCAATTCAGCTTAGCTCATCATTTGACTCAACTTTTAAAAATGTATATACATTTTAGGGGCTGGGAAGGTGGCTCACTGGTAGAGTGCTTGCCTTGCATGCATGAGGCCCTAGGTTCCATTCCTCAGAACCACATAAGCAGAAAAAGCCAGAGGTGGCGCTGTGGCTCAAGTGGTAGAGCACTAGCCTTGAGCTGAAGAGCTGAGGGACAGCACCCAGGCCCAGAGTTCAGGCCACATGACTGACAAAATAAAAGTATGCACATTTTAATAACCCCTTGATGTACATAGTATCTTCTAGCTGTGTATTTTGTTACATATTGGCACTTTATGAAGTATTAGGATTATTTCTACATATCACTAAACATGGGTTTAAACAAGGTTGCTAATAGTTGCCCCATATCATAATGCATACATATACTATACATTTAGATTGATTATAGTTTATCATGATAAGAATGCTACCATAAAAATCCTTGTACTTAAGTCTTTGAATATCTCTCTGGTTATTTCTTCATGATAAAATCTGGTAAGTAGCATTACTAGGTGAAAAATGAACATATCCTAAAGTGCCTTCTAGAATATTTGTCCTGATTCATGTGTAACTGAAAATATATGGATAAACCCATTTCCCTACAGCCTCACTAGTACTAGTGCTGCCTTTTGCCATTTGGAACATGAATATATATAATTTTCCTCACCTTTTGGTTCCTTAATCATTTCATCCCCTACCTCAAAGGAATGAGTTGGTGGTTTTGTTCTCTTTCCCTAGCTCCTGACTCACTGGTGGAGGATGGATAAAAGAAAGGTAGAAACCACCCGACCTGTGGTATGCCTCTGAAAAGCAACTAGGTTTTGTCAGTAGAATGCTGTAACTTGTAAAGTATTGCCTTAGATTATTTGCAAGACTGAGTGACACATAAAACAGCCTGACTGCAAATATCTTACCAGTTATTGACTGCCAAGAATGACACATATTTTCAAGCATCCAATATTGTAGACATAGGGTTTTCTTTCTTGCTTTTTAAAAACACTTTTTTCTTATGAACTTTATAATTTCGGGCATGGAGGGGGGCAGGAGGGGGAGGGAGGAATTGGGGAGGTGGGAAGGGAAGGGATGGTAGGGGAAAAACAAAGGCGGGCGTAACAATGCTCCATAGGAAATGTACTCATTACTTTATTCATGTAACTGCAACCCCTCTATACATTGTCTTTACAATAAAAAATATATATTAACAAACTATAAAAAACTCTTTCTGCTAAAACTTGGTTCACTAGATGAGTTTGGGGGCTGCTGACTAATTGAGATTACCTCTGTCAGGCCTAATATCCAAAGTATATAAGTATCTAAAAGAATTACCCACTCCCATCAGGAAAAAAAAAAAAACCAGCCAATAAATGGGCAAAGGAACTAAGGAGAGACTGTTCAAAAGTAAGAAGGGTAAATAGATACATGAGAAAATACTCAACATACCTGGCCATAAAGGAAAAGCAAATAAAAACAACTTTGAGATTCCATCTCACCCCAGTTAGATTGGCCAACATCAAGAATTCAAGCAACAACAAATGCTGGTGGGGATGTGGGGCGGAGTGGTGGGGGGAGGGACCGTATCATACTGTTGGTAGGAATGTAAACTAGTACAGCCACTCTGGAAGGCTGTTTGGAGTTTCCTCCAAAAATCTACACATAGACTGTCCCTGTGATGCAACCATACCATTCCCGGGCATCCACTCAGAACAGTATAAGTGAGGATACAGTAAAGACACTTGCACACCCAAGTTCATTGCTGCACTTTTCCTAATAGCCAAGTTATGAAGACAGCCCATATGCCCTACAATAGATGAATGGATCAAAAAATGGGGTACATATACACAATGGAATTTTACTCATCCATTTAAAGAGTAAGATTATGTCATTTTCAGGGAAATGGATAGACCTAGAACAAACCATATTAAGCGAAGCTAGCCAAGCTCAGAGAGACAAACAATGCATGTGGAAGTTAGGTTTAAAATATCACTGGACAAGATTACCTTTGTTGCTTTCCCCCATAGACACTAAATTGTGTTCCTCATCAGGTGGTTAATGAGCCTTGTGGAGCTATACACAGGTATAACTTATATGTGTATCTTTGTGAATGCTTTTCTTGGGAGAGAATCTGAAGTTTCATTTCATCTTCCTGTAAAAGAGCCCACGAAATGATTACAATCTTTGCCAGGGAGAAAGTTCTAAGGGCTCCTAACTGTAATACCTTAGCCGCCAGGCAGCAGACAGACAAGAGCAAAGTGGACTGGGCATCTTCAAATGCAGTTGTTCCAACTAAGTGGAATAATCTCTTGACTTTGGACCACCATCTGTGGGTGGGAACATGGGCTATGTTTCTAGATCTTAGTTCTTAATTTTTTTTTCAAATTCAGAAATCTGTCCATGAAATCTTTCAAATTTAAACTACATAGCATAACTTAGAGTTCAACAAAGAAACACTGTATAGGACAAACATTACCCTCCCTACACACACTGCCCTCCTTTCAGTCTGGTCAGCTCAAAAGGAACATATAACTCAATCCATAAATAAAAATATACCATTCAGGTTTCTAATAAGACCAAACCACCAAAACCATTTGAGCACACAGCACTGATGGGACACTAGTCTAACTCAAGTTTGGCCCTTGGTAAGTTCAAGGGCTAAGTATCAGAGCTCTTCAAACAATGTGGTTGCTGAATGCAGCAACTCCTGACACCCTCTGCATCTTCACCCTGGCCAAGGTCCAGGAGTGAAGATCAGGCCTTCCAGAGGCAGTGGAGAAATATATTCTAGAAGAGGAAATGTCAAGACTCCTAGATGTATGATTATATAAAACCTTGACGTTCAAGCCTATTACACTAGTAACTGTCATACCACATTCTTTAGTTGCCAGAAGAAAAATGCAGGACATGATGGAATGTGCTCCATAGCTTATTGGACCCAGATAAGTGACCTTTTTGTAAACCAACTTCCTTTTTAGCTTCACTTGAGAGGTTACTCTTTGAAAAAAACCTCGTAACACGATGATCAATTAGAGAAAAATAAAAATGTTCAAAATCCTTAGCCTAAATGAAATACAAATCAAATCTACACAGAGATACCATGACACCTCAGTCAGAATGACAGTCATCAAGAAAACAAGCAACTTGACACTGGTGGCTCACGTCTATAATCCCAGCAACTCAGGGGGCTGAGATCTGTCAATCACAATTAGAAGCCAGCTTGGCAAGAACGTTCATGAGACTCTTATCTCCAATTAGCCACCAAAAATGAACAGGAAGTGGAGCGGTGGCTCAAATGGTAGCACGCTAGCCTTGACCAAAAAAAAGCTCAAGGACAGTGCTCAGGCCCTGATTTCAAGCTCTAGAACATGCACATGCACGTGCATGCACACGCACACACACACACCCCTTCCCCCCCCCCCCCCCCCCAGAAACAAGCAGCAACAAATACTGGCAAGGATTTAGGGAAAAAAGGAACCTTCATTCACTGTTGGTGGAAACATAAACTAATACAACCACAATGGAAATGAGTATGGAGGCTCCTCAAAAAACTAAAAATTAGCCTTCATATGACCCACTATATCTCTTTTGGGCATACACCTGAAAGAGTCTACATCAAGAAAGATAGCACATACCCGTGTTTATCATAGCATTATTTACAATAGCCAAACGCTGCAAGTTGCCTCACAGTAGAAGAAATAAAGCTCTAAATAGAGCTTTATTTGTAAAGGAAAGATGCATATACATATATACATGTGTACATGTGCATGTACATATCTGTATATATGTGGAATATTACTCAGCCATAAGTAAAAATAGAACTGTGTAGTTTGTAGGACATGAACAAGTCTGGAGACCATCATGCTGAGTGAGATAAGCAAAACTTAAATAGCTACATACCTAATATTCTCATTTGTTTGTGGTGTATAGACCTAAAATGATGCTCATAACTTATGACAATGATTAATGATGGTGATAGTAATTATGATGAGAGACATAAATGTAGGAGGGAAACTAAGAAGGAATTAGAATTAGCGGAGGGGTGTGGTGAAGAGGCTCAAAGGACATTATATACAATATGTGTGTATACTATGCATGTATCATATATGTTATGCATATATCACATATGTGATACATATCATATATACATATATATCATATAAACGACTATCTATCTATCCACTTGAAACCCATCTATCTGAAACTAAATGCTGTGTGAAAAGTAGGGAGGGAGCGGGGGAGGAACAGAACTATGGTGGAGAGGGCGAATTTGTTCCAAGTGCACTCTATGTCTGCTAACTCAAAAAAAAAAAAAAGGAAAACAAAACCAAAACAAAAAGTCATTTCCAAATGGAACCATCTCACAAGTTCAGACTTAAAATACTGGTCTGTAAAATAAGATGCAAAGCCCTAATCCAATGTTTTCTCCAGCACTCAGCCACAGGCCTCCGGCAGATACCCAGACAGCAGTGTAGCATGTTCTAGGGTCTGTAGTCAAGTGTACATAGGAGAGAAGCAAGAGGAGAGGCACCCTGGAGGTGGCTGCCACAGGGAGCTGGGGCTGGAAAACAAGTGAGTGAACTAAACATGACCAAACTTGACAACCACAGATTTTCCCGGAGGATGCTAGCTGACATTTCACAGACCAACTATGCCTTTTGCACCCCTCCCCATGCTCTAAATAGAGCTTTATTTGTAAGTCTGAAAATAGCATCTCCCTCACAAGACATTATTTATTATACCAGTAAAGATGTGAGCTGTGGTGGACACTGTAGATGAAGAGTAGGGCATGCGCAATCAACACAAGCAAATATATTCAAGTGAGGAGAGAGTGTGTTTATGATGCAATTCCTGCATTTCAATTTTTCCCCCTTATTTAGAAAAGAGTAAGTTAGCTTCTGCTGGGTTCCTTAAATATAACAGAGCATATCCGGGTACCTGTGATCATGCTGGATATAATTAATGGCAGAATGATGAGTTTCAGCATCCTCATGAGAATTTCTCCAGGGAAAGCAAAGTAGAATTTCTCCAGATTTGAGAGCTTGCTATATTCTCGAACTAAGACTCCTACAGTGATGCCTAAAAAAAAAAGTAGGAGAGAAAAGGAACCTTGTTGAGTTCTCCTGTATGCATTTTGTTAGGAAAAAGTTTGCACCCCAAAATGAATTGTAATGACAAGAAAAACAGTTTAGATCATTCCTCATAAGTCTGTAAAACTTAGACTAAAAAAAAGAAAAACAACCAGAATGAGTAGAAAATATATATTTATAGTAAATCTGTGAGAGAATATGTTTCACATGAAAGCTTTGTATTTCCTTTCCTTCAGTTACATTTATTGTACTGACAAAATGCCAAAGGATGCTATGGAAAGAGTTATAAAAGGTTGTTGTTTTTTTCTCCCTTCCTTTATGATGCTGAAGACTGAGCTCAGGACTTCATGCATTCCACGCAAGTACTTGCTCCACAGCCTGAACAAAGACCTTTTATACATTTTACAGTTTACATATTGGTATTTGTTTTTCTTATGAGACTTTTTGTTTTGATTTTTTTTTTACTTGGTATGAGGGATTGAACCATGGCCTTGTGATTTTTTTGTTGTTGGTGGTGGTCATGGGGCTTGAACTCTGGGCCTGGATGCTGTCCCTCTGTTCTTCTGCTCAAGGCTCTACCACTTGAGCTACAGCACCACTTCCAGTTTTCTGGTGCCTTATTAGAGATAAGAGTTTCATGGACTTTCCTGCCTGGGCTGGCTTTGAACCACAATCTTTAGATCTCAGCCTCCTTAGTAGCTAGGATTACAGCTGTGAGCTACTGGTACCCAGATGGCCTTGTGAATGATTGATTGATTGATTGATTGATTTTGTCGGTTGTGGGGCTTGAGATCTGGGCCTGGGCACTGTTCCTCAGCTCTTCAGCTCAAGGCTAGCGCTCTACCACTTGAGCCACAGCATCACTTCCGGCTTTTTCTGCTTATGTGGTGCTGAGGAATGGAACCCAGGGCCTCATGCATGCAAAGCAAGCACTCTACCACTGAGCCACCATCCCAGCCCCGGCCTTGTGATTTTTGAGGTTACTATTTTGCTACTTGAACCATACCTCTAGCCAACCTTCCTTCCTTCCTTCCTCCCTTCCTTCTTTCTTTTCATTTTTGAAATGAGGTCTTTCTAACTTTGTCTGAGGTTGCCCTGAATTCATGATTTTCTCTCTCTGCCTTTTGAGTAGCTGACATTATAGGCATGTCATGTAGCTAAGGCAGCCACATGACCAATTTAAGACAAGCTTTCATGCTAATCAAACTTTATTATTTACAAAACCTTAATTTTAACAGCAAAATAATACTGTATTAATTTGACATATTTAACATATTATTAAGCAACTGTTTCCTCTGATGATTTGTATTATTTCCATGTTCACATATTCCTGACCAAAGAAGCTTTTTTAAAATCAAGTTTCAGACACTGAGTTCCACATAATTATGTAAGTACAAGGACATATTCATTATTAAGATATGGTATACACAGTCTCTGAATTTTGCCTTAACAAGATGCCTATGTAAAGTCTTCCAGCTATGTGGAGAACAACATTTAAATGTAAATTTTAACAAAAACTCACAAATTTTATCTTTAGCTTGTTTCAAATATTTCTAAAAAGTTTAAGCATTTCACCTCTTCATCCTCTGCTCACCAATGTATATTTTTAAAATCAAGAAATAAATGAGTTGGGTGATTCTTACATCTTTCTCCTTCATCAGCCTCTGATGAGTGACGTGGTAATTGGAGCAAATGACTAAGTGACAGGAAGATTCAAGGAAAATATCACTGGATATGCAAATTCACAACTCAAACAGCTAGTACATGGAAACCCAGAGCTCTTTGGGCACAGTTAAATGTCACAGAGTAATGAAAGGAGAATTATAATCCATACTAGAATTTTCATTTCAATGCAAGGATCCTTCCTTTCTTCACAAATAAACCAAATAGATGAACGTTGTAAGAGACATTTTGAATAGCTTTGCATTTAGCTGAACTTTATTCGCCAATGTATTTTCCCTTTGCCTGTTCTCTATTTTTGCGTTACTGAATGCATTTCTGGTTTTACATATGTATCCCCCAAAAAAGAATGTCCCAGATCATCAGTAAGACAAACAAACCAACTTTATTATGGATCCAATTGGCTCACTTCTGAACATCTAGTGTTAGACTCATGAGTGGTTAAGACATCAAGTATTCAAAATCCTTTAAGTAAATTTAAAAGGCATGGCACACTCATTTCCTGTTTTATTAACTTTCTGTGCTTGGCTGTTCTATATAAACTCACTTTTTTATGCCATAGTGATAACTCATAATGTTCAAGGCTTTTAAAAAACAAACTTTCTCTCTTATGCTGAACACAGATTGTTTCAAGTCAACTTCTGACTCATATTTCAAAGAAATCCCAGCGTGGGGAAGAGAAGTGTATTTGTGCTCAAAAAGAAGCTACAAAATATTCTGTTGAGGAGCAACGGACTTCCATGTGCCCACCTTTAAGGTTTAGATTACCAAGGGTGAGCTACCGCAGATAAATGCAAGGTTGTTAGGAAAACAAACAAACAAACACGTGCCTGCTACTTTTCAGCCTTTAGACAAGATTTTATGGAAGAATGAGAGTTGTCACATTGAGTAGTTAAGAGCAATTAGTGGGGACACATGTGTTGGGCATGGTGGTTCACAGATCTTCAATCACAACTACTCAGGAGGGTGAGATAGGAGAATCATGATTCAATTCCAGCCCAGGAAAAAGTTCACTAGGTCCCCAGTCTCAACCAATTAAAAACCTGGGCCTGGTGGCAATGCACCTGTCATCCCAGCTATAAGAGAAGTATAAATAGAAGGATTGTATTCCCTCATTATCTAGGCCAACCTAGGGAACACGTGAGCTCCTCTGTAAAAAATAATGAGTGAAAAAGTGGAAGTATTTGTCTAAGAAGTTCAAGGTTCAAACTTCAAACTTCAAACTCCAGTATCACAAAACAAAGAAAAGTGACCCATGAATAGGCAATTGCATACAGAAATTAAAACTATCAAGCTTGTTCTTGAATTTGAATACCACAAATTATACTCCAATTTTTCTCTCTCTCTCTTTTTTTTTTTTTTTGCTAAAATTAAGAGTAGATATGCCAACCAAACCTGGAAAAAAAACAACATGTTCACAGATGTCACTTTGAGACCCTTAAAACCTGAAGGAGCTAGTGAATGACCTCACCTAGTAGTTAAACCTCGAAAGTGGATGTATTTCATCTTGTTCTTGAACACATTTGGAAACCTAAGATGCAGGACAAAGAAAGTCACTGGAAGATTTTTCTTTGTTTTTGTTTTTTTTTGGGGGGGTCCGGTCGTAGAGCCTGAACTCTAGGCCTGGACACTGTCCCTCAGCTCTTCAGCTCAAGGCTAGAGCTCTACCACTTGAGCCACAGAGCCACTTCCGGCTTTTTTTCTTTTTGCTTATGTGGTGCTGAGGAATCGAACCCAGGGCCTCAGGCATGCAAGGCACGCGCTCTACCACTGAGCCACCTTCCCAGCCCAGATTTTTCAAGTCCCCAATAAGGTCAGGATAGCAGGGCAGAGCACCTTCCCTACCCTACAAAGTCAAGACTTAAGATAGTTAGGGAGCACCACAAGGCAACAGAAGGCTCTGTGTCCTTAACCTACTATAAATTAACAGCAGGCTATGTTTTTTTTCTGTTCCTATTCTTATGTACTCCCACATAGACAACACTTCTGGCAGGTGGATCATGATAATAGTTGCCTAGGTTAATTTTCAGAGATCTGAAGGCCGCTTCTGCTAAAAATATGGACCCTTTCACTTGGGCATGAAAATGTCTATTGATAGATGCACTACCTGTTAAGAGAACCACCATTCTCTTACAAGTTAACCCATGAACGGTTAGTCTGCAAAGTATCTTAAGGAAATGTTGGCACACAGAAGAAAAACATCTTCTGAACTCATGTCTATGTCTGATGGAAAGTTACCATGTAAACCCATCCCCCAAAAATCAATTCAAATCTTTTCTTTCCCTTTGTTAACTGAGTAGCCTGCTCACATCTTTGCTCGGTGCTAGCTCCCTTCTGCCTGTGAGTTATAGTCCTCATAAAGCCTTTCCTGACTTTCAAGATCTAACTCCTGCTATTTCTGCACACCTGCCCCTAATTCCCCTATTTGATAAATTAAGTTAGATTTAGGCACATAAAGAGAAATTTCCAGGGCTGGAAATGTGGCTTAGTGGTAGAATACTTGCCTAGCATGCATGAAGCCCTGGGTTTGATTCCTCAATACCACATAAACAGAAAAAGCAGGAAATGGTGCTGTGGCTCAAGTAGTAGAGTGCTAGGCTCGAGACAAAGAAGCTCAGGGCCCAGGCTCTGAGTTCAAGCCCCAGGACTGGGGGTGAGGGAGAGAGAGAGGGAAAATTTCCAAAGCCAGGAGTTGTTAGGATTAACTCACTACCTGGGGATGTGAATGATACTCCCAGAACATGGAAAGTGAAACAGTGAAGACTGATAGACAACTGAGTTCAATAGAGGCCTTAGACAGGGCCAAGGAATTCCTAAAAGTAAAGTAGTTACCAGAATCTCTGAAACCCCAGCTATACCACTTTGGACCTCTACTACTTTAGAACTTCTTCCAACAAGAAAGATAATCCTAAGCAGGTACAGAGTTATATTAGGAAGAATACTGGTGTTAGAATCGCAGGTTCAAACTCTGGCTCTACAACCATGAGGTGTATATAATCTGGGCCTTAATGTTAAGGTAATATCTTTTATCAATTAGTGAGGAAGGGATTCCAATAGTTGCCTTCAAAGATCCCTTCTAATGTCTTAAGATACTGTGATCATCTCTAAGCCTTGGTTCCTTCGATGAGAAAATGGGATCACAGAATCTCAGCACCAAGAAAGCTGTTCATACCTCCTCTGGTTTTTATGCTAGGCATAAATATGTTAGTAACATAGAGACGAAAGAAATATGAAGGGAAAACCTTCAAGTTGTCAACTAAGGTAATTTAATGGATTCAGAGAAGACACCTAGAATGTCATCTCCTCACA